CATTTGCAGTTCAACCATCATGATGCATCAAGAAATCAGAGAAGACGCAACTGTCAAAAGCAGAGAGGGCTCTCTACAGATCTATAAAAGTAGCTCTTTGCAGTAGCGAAAAGGAAAAGCTTAGTGTGGCGAAGTGCTCAGCAAGTCATTGGTTTCCTTTGGGTACATCAGTCACGTTTCGTGAAGAAAATTCATTTGCCCAATGGAAACTCAGATGCACCTTAGTGACAGAAGATAGAGATTATAGATAAAAGAGAGGAATGGTGGGAGCAGTGGGTTTTAGCGGAGGGGAAAGGGACAGAGACAAGAAGAGTGTTATGTTGTAGGTTAAAATGAAAGCAAAAGAGAGAAAAGAGCAGACAACAGGAAAAGCAAGACAGGGTGGAAAATAGGGGCAGGGCTAGCTCAAGTAAATGCGGAGATTTGACCGAAGAACGGTACACTCCTTCTATCTGGGATGGTCGTCCTCTCCCACCAAGCGCGCAGCTTCGGGAGGGACGCACATGAACTGGTGAGAGAGGGAGGGGACACCCGCCTAGCCAGCCAGATCAGCTGAATCAACCCTGGCAATCAATCAATGGGGTGACAGATTGGGGTTGGCCTCCACCTCTTTCCCCCTTTTCTTCCTAATGTCTCAACAAATGAAACTGATTTGTAAAAATGTTACATGGGGGAAAAAACCACAAGAGACATTGCACACTTTTGTAAATCAACAAAATCTTTAATAAAAAAACAAACAACAAAAAAGGGGTGACAGATGTCGCAGTCAGATCACCCTCACATCCAAATGCAGAGACTAAGCGAGAGATCAGAAGAAGCAAGAAACGGTATTAAAAGAAGCTATGTTAAAAATGGGGTGGAAATAGAATGGCATCCTGCTTCTTTTACCTTCCCACTTCTTGTCAGGTGGACACAACTGAATCTAGCCTGACCCCCTTCATTCCTTTTGTCTCTCCCACAAGAATAATGGGCATTGTAGTTTGTTAAGCGTTGCGGGGAGTTGTGATCCTGTGAGGTGTGAGCTACAGTACCCAGAGTTTTTTGAGGGAAACAATGTGCTTCAAATGTGCTTTAAAAGTATAGTGTGTACACAGCCTAAGTTAGGTCTGTTATTTTCAATAGGTTTACCATATTTTTCTGTGTATAAGACTAGAGGTTATTTTACCAAAAAATTAGGTTTAAAATTGGGGCTCGTCTTATACATGGGTAGTGTTGAGGGGTGTTTTCTTAATTCGGAGTCCCCAAAAATAGGAGGCGTCTTATACATGGGGGTGCCTTATACACGAAAAAATACGGTAGTTTGATTAAAGCTCAGTTGAATACCATGCTTCCCCCCCCCTTTATATACATTTTATTGATGCTTATTCTTTTAAATGTGAACTGCTTTGTGAGGTTCAACAGGGAGAAACATTAATGCATGCATACGCTTGCCTTGAATAAATAAACATAGGTGTTTTATTAAATTATCTTGATCAACATGCCATGTGACATGTTCATAGGTCCAGCAGATATCCACATCCAAAAAAGTCAACATCTTCTTATAGTTAGTATTCTAGGCTCACAACTACTTAAAATTCTAACCTTGTAGCATTAGTCATCCAAAAAAAACCAGAGGACTTTAATAAGGCTGTCAAATTTGCTAACACTTGGTGTGATGTGAATTATTCCCTTGCATTCAGAAGCAGTCAGAAATCACCTAGCATTCACTAGCAGAAAACACATCATTTTATTCATGTGTCATTTTAGATTCCACTTCCCCTTCCCTTCCAAAGCAGGTTACATCTATTATAGAGAGACTAAACCTGTAGCTTCTGTTTTTTTGACCTCATTTTCATAATGGAAGCAATTCTTAACTTGCATTGTATTACTTCAATGTAACCTACGCTGAAAATGTGTGCAACTTAATTCCAAGTAATATATTTAGGACTTGATGTAAGTCTGGTAAATTAATTTCTTTTCCAGCTGAAGATTTTGCTTTATTCCAATCATTCATATGTATGGCATGCACACATTTTTAAAAGTTCATATTACAGAATAAACTAGTTTTAAAAAAATGTAATGCAGTTAACTACCATGGAAAGGTACCATTCATGGAATACTAGATTAGACAAATCTGCCATGCTTAAATGTTTTTAGAGTACAGGAGTAAAGATTGATTTAGAGTGTTAACAGTGCAATCAGATTCTTTACTTATTATTTATTCATTTAATTTTCGAAAAAAGGGGGAAAAAGATTGATTTTAATTATTTATTCAATCCTCCTGAAGAAGCCCAAGGTGGCACATCAATAATAAGTAAAATAAGGCACTAAAAAAAACACCACAATTTAAAACATAAAAACAGTTCATTCTAAAAAACAGTTAGAACATTTTCTCAGCTGGCGATCTGAGTTTTGCCAAGAACAATGACTTTCAGCCATCAAATGCCTAAGTATAACAGGAATGTTTTGAAGGTCTTCCTGAAAAATCAACAATGAGAAAGATAGACACACGTCAGAAAGAAAGGCATTCCACAGTCAGTATCTGCCACTGAAAAGGCGTGGCAAAGAAATTGTCATGAGTCACCACCAAGGCTTCACCTGCTGATCATAATGGCCTGAGATAGTTGATATTGGGGAATGTGCTCTTTTAGAAACACCACAGAGAACAGAAGGATGGAAAAATTGACAAGTCACTTTCCAAAATATATAGCAGATGACAGAGGAATGGTTAGAAAGCAAGATCAGTGTAATAAATCTCCTCAAGCCTGACCTTTGTAGTAATAAAATAATTACACAAAAATATATCTTGGTTTTTTTTATAACAGAATATATTTTGATCTACTTTCTTGTTATCTCCTTAAAGTTCTTTTTTATAATGTTACTGCATTCATTTTGGTTGCAGTTCATGAAGCCATTACATCAAAACTCCCTATGAAACACATACGTAGTTATTACAGCCATGTTATTGCTAGAATTTATTAACAGGTAATAGGGTTTGTGACTGCAGCTTAAATAAACAATGCTTGTAAATCACCAGGAGCTTCTGAAATGAGAAAATCTAATTGTATTTTTGCACAGAGCAATCATGCTTGTTCAAATGTCAATAAACCACAGGAACAAGCAGCAACATGTCTGAGGTTTGCATGTTTCAAACTTCCCTGCCCCCGCCAACGCCTCTCCTTTTTGTGTGTGTGGAGATTGGAATTGTTCATTTCTGGTTGTTGTTTTTTACTAATCACAGTTCAGCATTATTGTGAAACCCTGAACTACAGTTAATCCTAACTATCATTTCTTGAAACGATCCAAGATTTGAAACAACCCATGATTTGAAGTTTCAAACAAACCACGTTAAAATTAACCCCCGTTTGTTGGGTTCCGACAAAACGATGAGCTGCAGTTAATTAAAAAATGGAAGCAAAAGTTTCTGAAGCCTTTCTTGCACCCACGCTGGAGAAGGGTGAAGCACATGGCCCCAAGACTCAGTATAGAGTGGTGCCTCGCAAGACGAAATTAATTCGTTCCGCGAGTTTTGTCGTCTTGCGATTTTTTTCGTCTTGCGAAGCATGGTGTCGGAAAAGTTTTGGAAAAGCTTCAAAAATCACTAAAGTCTTCAAAAACCTCAAAAAAGGCTACCACACCGCGTGCTATGAGTTGCTCCTCGAAGTCAAGTCGCAACTGTATTAACGGTGTTAAGAAAAAGGAAACAAACTTGCAAGATGTTTCCGTCTTGCGAAGCAAGCCCATAGGGAAAATCGTCTTGCGAAGCAGCTCAAAAAACAAAAAACCCTTTCGTCTTGCAAGTTTTCCGTCTTGCGAGGCATTCATCTTGCGAGGTACCACTGTATCTCATTCCCATAGTGATAAATCATGATTTATAATGATATCTGAATGCAGGGATAGGCTAGATATTTCTTCACTTTATTTTGATCAAACCATCTTGCTCCGGTGAGTAACCTGACCACTGAATTCTGCATCAGCTAAAGTTTCTGAACCGTCCTCAGAGGCAGCCCAACATATAATATGTTGCAGTAATCTAACCTAGAGGTTACCAGAGCAAAGTTAGCAGAAGTTAGACCATCCCTGTTCTGATAGGGGTGCAGCTGGGTCACCAGCCGAAGTTCATGGAAGGCAATCCATGCCACCCAAGGCCACTTGAGCCTGAAGCAACAGCAATGGACGCAGGAGTACCCACAATCGTATGTACCTGCTCCTTCAGAGGGAGTACTGTAACTCCATCAAGAGCAGGCCACCTCCCATCCATCCTGTATAGGGAACCACCTTCTAACACTGCTTCAGTCTTATCTGGATTGAGCTTCAGTTTGTTGGCTCTCATCTAGTCCATTACCAAGGCTAGAAATGTACACTAGTGGCCAAAATTGTGGAAACCTTTTGGAAAAAGTGGATTTCTGAAGTTTGATGGCTCAAAGCACCACTTTTTTTGGAAGTAATGCCATGATATATCAATGGAAAGATAATTTAATGAAGAATGTAAAGCAACAAAGTTTGTTCAATTATCTGTATTCTATAAAAAGTTATAGCCAAATAACCAGAAAAAGGAAGCACAACTTGCTTAGGTTGATATGCAGTAACTTTCCTTCACTTGAATGTAGCCAATGAGCAGGAGTGTTTAGAGAGCCAATCAGGTGTTATGAGCCATCAAACCTCGGAAATACACTTTCCCCAAAAAGTTTCCACAATTGTGGCTGCTACTGTAGCTACATCTTGTGCAGACACAGAAAACTATGGCTACCATTTACCATTGTAATTTCTAAAAGAACTTTAAAAAAAACAAACCACTCCTGATACATTTATGCTGTATAAAAAGTGATTATTTTCCGTTTCCTCTTGAGGTTACAATTTGCATTCAAATGTCTTGAGATAGAATTTTCTTTTTCAAATAATTGGTTCGTTTGCTGTTGGAATTGTAGTACTCTAAATGCACAGTGTTATGGAGGGTGTGGGAGAAATACTCATCACAAATTCAAGTTTAAAATTGTGCGTTTCCACTTATTCCTTCCAAGTATCTACATGCCAATGGAATTGTTCACCGTGATTTGAAACCAGAAAATCTACTGTATGCAACGCCAGCTCCAGATGCGTCTTTAAAAATAGGTAAATACTGTTCTTCTGTACCAGTTTTGGTTTGCGTGTTGGTGTTCTAGTGCAACAACTTTGCATTCCATGAATTTAGGATTGGATGTATTCACCCACCAGAAAGTTTCAGTCCTGTACCTTACATGAGGAGTAATTTGATTAGTGTTTGATTGTTAGTTGATTAGTATAACATTTCCAAATGATGAAATATTACGTTCATTTCATTCCACGGTATCGCGCAAGAAATATAAAATAATGATAATAACAAATAATGAATCCTTTCTGGTTTATATGTAACAGCTGATTTTGGACTTTCCAAGATTGTTGCAGATCAAGTGACCATGAAAACAGTCTGTGGGACTCCAGGGTACTGTGGTATGTTCCTTTATTGCTTACAGTATGTTAGGTATCTATTTATTTGTATTCAGTTGCCTTAAATGCTTAGGGTGGTAGTCACCTAAATTTTATTCAGATTAGACCCACTGAAATAACTTGTAGCATCACTTTAAAAAGGCACAGTTGACACGGGGCTCTGTAAAGGGTTTTGGCTATTTCCCTCCATTTGGGGTGTCATTTATGACTGATACACATTATGACTGATAAACAAGAATATTACTGTTCTTTACTGCATTTTCTTTATCACGACTTCTGTCAACATAAATCACAAAATGAATATTACTAACATGGAATGAACAGTGTTAAGGGCACATTTAAGGGTGTTAAATGCACAAATGGTAAAGTGTAGAAGGTGGCGTTAAGTACAAAGGACAAGGCATTTTAGGAAAATTAATGGTATTTCTGTTTGAGGTAACGTTAGGTGAGCATTCCTAAAGTCCCAACTGAAGGCCACTAGAAGCTGTGGCCTTACTGACAGGCAGGGTGAGGCAGCCAAGTCAGGCAGCTGGTTCTGAGTGTCATGAAATGACAGCAAATGACTAGTTAATTCATTTCTTATTGCTGAGTTTTTTTCCTGCAAAGGAGATTAAGAGGTGGCTGTGGTATACATGCCAACTCTATGAGGCTGAGGACAGCTCAGTCCCCACAAAGTATATGGGGCTGGGGCTGAGCCCCCTCCCTAATCTTGAGGGGCTGGGTCCTGCAGGGCCTCCCAGCCACATGACAGGACCCCCACCCATGTTGAGCAGAACTCAGCGCCTCTGCCCTGTGGTATTTTCTGCCTTAAGATGCCAAAATATCTTGACTGGCTTTTAAGTAGTATGCATCTTGACTGAAGGGGTGCCGTTTGCTGCTCTGCCTCAGGCAGCAAAATGTCTTGAACCCTGGGTGGAGGCCCTCCAGGTAGGGCACTGGAAAGCTCCTCTGCCATCACTCTAGCAGTGGCAGTGTTCTGTAGGTGGTGGCCCCAAAACAGAATGTTCTGGAAGGGTATCAAAAGAGCTTTGAATCCACAGGATCCAAAGTCTCTTTGTTCCTTTGACACCCCAGAAAATCTGAAAGATGTACACCAGCCCTGGAGCTAGTTATTTCCCCTGCCATCGGTATCAGTGAGAAGAGGAATTTAAAAAGTCAAATTGGGGTGGATGTCTCCAGAAAATCCACCCACACTTACTTTCTGCCCTGGCCACTGCTAGCTTAGGAAGTGGTGGTTTTTCCACCATGGAGTCATCCTCCTCCCTTCCCAATCTTAAGATTGCCCTGTAAATATTTAAAACATTAGCTTAGATTATGTTGCATTTTGATAGGAAGAAATAAATCTGTTTGTTTCAACACACCACCAGCCTTGGGCTTTTAATAATAGATGTAAATAAAGGGTAAGGGATTCAGAAATTATAAACGCAGCAAAACAATGTCCAGACAAAAGCAGGATTCCAAACGGGAAAATTTGAAACAACCACATGCAATGAGAAATGGTGGTGTTACTTGTCCATGAATAATTAACTTCCGAGAATAGTCATGCATTGCCTGAGGGTAGCAAGGCAAGCCAACCACAAAATGGAAATAATAGATTATCACTTTTTGAGCACATTATGTGTAACGAGCCAAGGTCTGACATCTCAGATAATGCACTGATTAAGACATGCAAGGAATACAAACTCACTTTTCAAAATCTGAAAGGAAATTAAAAGTATGAATAATTAACAGTGGGATCCTATGCATCCCTACTCAAAACTAAGTCCCATTGAGCTTCCTGGCACTTACTTACCAGCAAGAGTGTGTAGGACTGCATCCTGAATGAGGGGGAAAGAAAAAGGGGTTGCTTCTAGTTTTTTAAAAAAGCAGTCTTATCCCTTGACTAAAATAGATTGAACCTATTTTGGGGGACATTCCATTAGAGTCTGGAACCAAATGTTTTTCGCTCTTTCCCTTTTGCCAAACATGGAACTAGACAATTGAACAGGACATTGTAATTACAAAGAGTTATAATTCTCAGCAACCCTTACCAAACAACAGTACCTAGAATTCTTTGAGGGAAAGGATGTGCTTTGAATGTGCTTTAAATATAAAGTATATACAGTACACAGCTGTAGAGCCAGATTTCATGGTCCAGATTTCTTTTTTCTTCTTTTTTTTATTAAGGATTGTAACAAAAGGTCTCACAATATAAGCAATTGAAGTGCAGGAGACAATTGCTTGAGAGGGGGCTGTGCTTTCTTCTGTGCTTCTAGAGAGGCTTCACTTCGTATGATAATAATATTACCTAAGAATAATAGTTTAATAATATTCATTCTGAATAGCTTCACTATATCTCTTTCCTGAAACACATTCTCCTAGCACATATGAATGCACAATTAATGCGCATATTTCAGTAAAGAAATTGGTCTACCTTTGCTGAGCTTAGGCTGCTTTATTTATTTTCTTTCTTTTTCTCTCTCTCACATAGGAATTCTAGGTTTCTAGAATTTTGCTTTTTTTTACCACTGCCTCTGCATGGGGCCCATCCATGCTGGCTACTGCTCTGTTTCACTGTTATTTCTTTCTACATTAAAATTTTGTTTTATTGACAAGATTTTTATAATCTGCAGCACCGGAAATACTGCGAGGCTGTGCCTATGGCCCAGAAGTGGACATGTGGTCCTTGGGAATAATCACTTACATCCTGTGAGTTTGGCTAAAAATTACCCTATATATATATAAGCAAATGCGATTCATTTATTAGTTTGCTTGCTTTCTCTTCAGATTGTATAAATCTTCCGCCTTACTGAAGTAGTTTGTTTTCTAGCCACCAGATTTTGTATTCGGAAATGTGTATTTGGAAGATGGTTCAAACCGTACATTAAAAAATTTGTACTGCCCCTCATTTGTTGAAAATTGAAGTCTTTTGGCACGCTTCTCCTTCTAATTACTTTTTTTTTCATGGATAGCCGTTATGTTTAACTGGAATAGCCACTGATCTTTAACTGGAATCAGCGGCTTCCCTCACGTTGATCATGAGTCAATTGGTATTTAATTTTTGGCTGCAGTTTATGCACTTTACACAGAAGGAAACCTTATTAAACACAGTAAAAACTTCCAAATTACGGTAACATGGGTATGATTGCAGTACACGCCACTCTTGTCCACTCTTATGATACTCTGCTCTGGTATCAACATTGTCCTTTAGCCAATACAGGCAGCCATGAAGGTGTAGTATCAAAGATTGTCACCCCCTTGGGTTGGAAGTAGGGTGAGAGTGCCTCATGTTTGCGGGAGAAGTTGAGAAGTAAGTTCCCAGTGCTCTCCCAGGAGAATAGGGAACCTATTGAAAGGAATGCCCCCTCAGAAAGACCTAGGAGTTTAGGTCACCAGAGTGAGAGGGGAGCTGTTCTTCAAGGTAGCTTAAATATTTTTTTTGGAAACCCCTTTTTGCATTGGGTCTTTAATTGTAGTGGAGATGATATTTGTATTGTGGCTGCTTTTGTTAAATCTGAGTAATAATACTAATAATTTTATTGTTAATACCCGCCCATCTGGCTGGGTTCCCCCAGCCACTCTGGGTGGCTTTCCAGCAAATCATAAAAAATAATAAAATGTCAGGCATTAATAACTTCCCTGAACAGGGCTGCCTTCAAATGTTTTCTAAAAGTTGTGTAATTCTTTATCTCCCTGACATCTGGTGATGGGAGGGTGTTTCACAGGGAGGGCGCCACTGCGAGAAGACCCTCTGCCTTGTTAACTATGATAGAACCAGGACTTTTTTCCCAGCCGGAATTTGATGGAACTCAGTCTCAATGCCATTGCCATTCCAAGAGAACGAGGGAGGTGTTCCTGGTGAGTTCCGGCACCTCTTTTTCTAGAAAAATAGCACTGGATAGAGCCAATTTTTATCTACAGAGAAGGCAACCCCCATTGCAGCAATGGTGCTCCTTCTTTTAGTGTTCGTGGCTGCAATTTTGTAAACCTAGACATGCCATTAGAACAGCAATGGGGAAACTGTCGCCCTCCAGATCTATCCAACTATTTATCTATTAAGACTATTTATATCCCACTCTTCAACTGAACTATTTAGACCCAAGTGTTGCTACATCCTTTTCTTCTCATAGAAACCAATAGATGGCAGCCTTGATACCTACCAGGTTTTCTGCTGTGTCAGCCTCAGAATAGAATATTTCTAATGCTACTTTGCTTCCACCTACAGCCCAGTATGAGATATGCTTAGGTTTCAAATTGCCTAGATACTTTTTAATCCTCCCAAATGTTGTGAAGAAAAATAGATTTAAAATCCTTCATACCTGTTGCAAAATCCTACGTGCTCTGTTAATCTCTTATGGCCTGATCCTGTGAGCCATTGGCTGAATAGAGTAGCGCATAAGAACATATGTGGAAAGCTGCTGTAGCAGGAAGAAGCTGGTCTAGGACTTATTCCTCTATACTTTTAGGTAAAGGTAAAGGGACCCCTGACCATTAGGTCCAGTTGTGACTGACTCTGGGGTTGCGGCACTCATCTTGCTTTACTGGCTGAGGGAGCCGGCGTACAGCTTCTGGCTCATGTGGCCAGCATGACTAAGCCGCTTCTGGAGAACCAGAGCAGCACACGGAAACACCGTTTACCTTCCCGCTGGAGCGGTACCTATTGATCTACTTGCACTTTGATGTGCTTTCGAATTGCTAGGTTGGCAGGAGCAGGGACTGAGCAACGGGAGCTCACCCCGTCGCGGGGGTTCGAACCGCCGACCTTCTGATCAGCAAGTCTTAGACTCTGTGGTTTAACCCACAAGCATGGGGAAATTTTATGGGGAGATGAGCATGTGACTACTGCCCCTACAGTCTGAGAAGGGCCATTCTATCTGATGTTCCTTACAGTACACACTTGCATTTGACTCTTGGTACTGAAGACTTTTAAACATGGTATGAATTCCACGTCCAATATTATTTATTTGTAAAAACTAATACACCCCTTGACTGTAAAAACAAACAAACCCTCAGAGCAGTTTACAAAGCACAGAACAGTAAAATCAAGAGAAATTTACAAGCCTACTTTAAAACATACAAAAGTTAAAATGCTAAAACAGTTTAAAATTACCTCAACTTCCTAAGCAACTGGGTGGGCTTGTCTAAGCAGGAAAGTTTTTAGCAGGTGCCAGCAAGAGTACAGCGAAGCTGCCTGTGTGATCTCAATAGGCGAGGAGTTCCAAAGTGTAGATGCTGCCATAGTAAACGACTGAGTTCTTACAAACGCTGAACAGATATTATGTGGCATGCTGTGTAGGAGCATCAATTTCGCTGACTGAAGCAGTCAAGTGGGCACATGCAGGGCAAGGTAGATTACTACAGAGGTTACACATTCCTCTGTATTTTGCAGACATAACATGCTCTTTGTGTCAAGGAAGCTAAAGCTGATCGACGTGGTTGAGCTATCTCACTGATAATGATGTAACAAGTTTGTTTATTGCTTGCCTTTAGACTCTGTGGTTTTGAGCCGTTCTACGATGAAAGAGGAGACCAGTACATGTTCAAAAGGATCCTGAACTGTGAATATGATTTCGTTTCACCCTGGTGGGATGATGTGTCTCTAAATGCCAAGGATTTGGTATGTTCGGCTAATTCTGCCATTTACCATCAGCATAATTTTATCAGGATAATCAGCATTGTACTATACATGTGGAATCTACTTTATGTATATTCATTATAGGTTATATCCCCACAGTGTCTGTGCATGAGAAGAATAGACTTCCACCAATGCAATGGCACTTCTACTTCCTAACCTTACCTCTGCAGCCCCCACGTACCATCAAAATCTGTAGAGGGTTGGTGGACCCTATGGAACAGATTCGGAGGTGGGATCCATGGGGCTGCAGGAGACAGAAAAGTGAGGAGAAGTCTCATTGCATCAGCAGAAATCTGCTTGTGTGACATTGGATTTCACCCAGTAAAATTATAGCCTGAAAGTTTTGAATCTTGATATTGTTCAGATGCACTTTTAGCACATTACTGGCCCAGTTCATATGATGATTCAGCTGGCAACAAGCTTGTCTGACTCCTTTCCATCTCCTTTTTTGAGGGGGAGGGATAATGTGCACCAAGAGTTTCTATCCATGCATTCACGGGATGTTTCTACCCAGTGATTAGAGCATAGCTGTCAACTTTTCCCTTTTCTTGCGAGGAATCCTATTCGGAGTAAGGGAATTTCCCTTTAAAAAAAAGGGGAAAGTTGACAGCTATGGGTTAGAGTGTTGGACTAGGAGCTGGAAGACCAGGGTGCAAATCCCCTCTCAGCTACCTTGGGTGACTTTGGGCCAGTCACTGCCTCTTAGCCTAACCTCCCTCATAGGGTTGCTGTGGTGTTTGAAAGATGAGCAGAAGAATATGTACACCACCTTGAGCTCCTTGGAGAAAAAAAGGGGGATATAAATGCAATAAATAATCATAAATAATATGTGTACATGTCAGGGGTTCAGGGAGAGAGACGCAGATGAGGGAGGAGACTGAGAGCGAGGGGGGAGGATCCCAGGGCGACAAGGAAGAAGATGACAATGAGTCGAGGGGTTCCATGAGTCTCTCCAGTGAATCGGAGGATTCCCAAAAGGGAGCGCCCCTGGTCAGGCCAAGGGGAGCCACAGGGGGGAGTAGTCAGGAGCAGGGCAGCAGCAGGGGAACCCCCAGTGGGAGTTGGAGATCGGGACCGGCTTCTCCGCCGGAACGGAGTGAAGGGGGTGGAGTTCCCAGTGTGTCAGACGGAGCAGAGCAGGAAGCAGAGAGGGGAAGGAGATCGGGGCAAGACGTCCTGCCGGAAGGGGCGGAGAGTAGTACCGAGAGCAGTGTAACTGTCAAAAGGAAGGTCAGAAGCAGCGTACGCGCGCCAAGTTCAAATGTGGAGGCGCGCGGAAGTGAGGAGAGCCCGGAGGAGGAGCCTGGTCCCAAAGCACGGAGGAGGGGGGAGCAGGCGTCAGAGGATTCAGCCTCTGGGGAATCCCGGAGGGAGGGAACCCAGGGGGGCAGAAAGACCCTGCGGAAAAGGAAGGAGAGGAAGAGGTGGTCCAGCGCAAGCCTCTTAAACTGGTGTAGAGGCGGGACTGATTCAGAAGGGACTTCAGCGGTCTAAGCCTAACAGACGTGGGGTCACACGCCTCGGATGTGGAGCTAACAATGTTCTTCAATAAAAGCTTTTGTACATAAGCAGGACTGGGCGTTGGTCTCTTGTGAGCTGGGACCTTGGGTGGCCCTGACAGTACACATATATGTGCACACATATAACTCACACCAGGTTTACTCTAACGTTGCTTCTAAGCAGTTGTTTGATGCTAGAAGTGGATATTGGTTGGGTAGCGAGTTGCTAGCATATGAAATTGTGCATATATCCTTAGGTTGGAGCCTACATGGTTTCCGAGGAATGCATTTTCCCCCTTACTTTTAAATCATCTTATTATGCAGGTTAAGAAGTTAATTGTGCTTGACCCCAAGAAACGTCTCACCACATTTCAAGCCTTACAACACCCTTGGGTCACAGGCAAGGCAGCCAATTTCGCTCACATGGATACAGCCCAAAAGAAACTCCAAGAATTCAATGCTCGACGTAAACTTAAGGTACGTTTCAGGGGGGTGGGGTGTTATTGTTTACTTTTGGATGGTTTCAAGTAACTCGCTTTGTTAACGGAAGACAGCACAAGGGCTCCTCTACGTAGCACCACACTTGCGTCTATTTTCACCGATGTGTGTATTTTTGTGCATGCGTCACCAAAGTGCATGGATTTTTGTACACATCACCTGCCTGGAGAACTTCAGAGAAGTGTGGCTATCTTTTGGTTTGTGTATTGCTTTGGAGAGTGAGAAGTAGGTTTGCCCTTTAAATGTACAGTGGTACCTCGGGTTACAGACGCTTCAGGTTACAGACACTTCAGGTTACAGACTCCACTAACCCAGAAATAGTACCTCAGGTTAAGAAATTTGCTTCAGGATGAGAACAGAAATTGTGCAGTGGCGGCGCGGCGGCAGTGGGAGGCCCCATTAGCTAAAGTGGTGCTTCAGGTTAAGAACAGTTTCAGGTTAAGAACGGACTTCCAGAACAAATTAAGTTTTTAACCCGAGGTACCACTATAAAAAAAGGGATGCGGGTGGCGCTGTGGGTTAAACCACAGAGCCTAGGACTTGCCGATCAGAAGGTCAGCGGTTCGAATCCCCGCGATGGGGTGATCTCCCGTTGCTCTGTCCCTGTTCCTGCAAACCTAGCAGTTCGAAAGCATGAAGTGCAAGTAGATAAATAGGTACCACTCCGGCGGGAAGGTAAACGGCGTTTCCGTGCACTGCTCTGGTTCACCAGAAGCGGCTTAGTCATGCTGGCCACATGACCCGGAAGCTGTACGCCAGCTCCCTCGGCCAATAAAGCGAGATGAGCGCCACAACCCCAGAGTCGGTCACGACTGGACCTAATGGTCAGGGGACACTTTACTTTTATCTTTACCACTATAAAGTGAATTGAATTTCTCCCCCATCCCTCGTAGTGACACACTTAGAAAAAGGTAAGGAGGGGCTGCTCTAAAGAATACCTAAAAAGGTGGAAATGTGTGGATAAAACATGCTTATTCCCTTAAAACCTACTCTATATGTGCACAACTGCATATCACCCAGTCTTAGCAGAAACAGGCTGGTGTCTCGGTAACTTTGGCTTTCAGCAAAATATTCTCCTTCGTTAGACCATGCTGATTTGTTCAGTTTGGAGACACATTCTGTCTGAACCCCTGCAAGTCTAAATAGAGTTAATTCATACATTATGTAGGAGAGAATCTACTGGGAAGTGATTATAGTCTTGCCTGGGTTGGTACACAGTGGAGACAGATGGGATCGGTGCCACGAAACTGCAGCAGAGGTGCCAAGAAATCTAACCACTCTTGTTTGTTTTTATTGAAACCCAGGCTGCAGTGAAAGCTGTTGTTGCATCAACTCGTCTTGGGAGTGCAAGCTGCCACAGCACCCACGACAGCAATAAGCCCAGCCAAAGGCAATCTCTGCGCCCAGAAAGAGAGGACAGCGTGGAGGGAAAAGAAGAAGTAGTAGTAGCAGAAGAAGAAGAAGCAAACTTCACTGAATCTCATGAAGAGGACTCTCACGAAGAAGCAACTGAAGGAGAGTCTTAAATCTTGGGGTATCTTATTCCAGCCAAGTTCTGTCATTCCGTGCACCAGCCAAGATACCATTCAGAAACAAATTACAAGCATGGCTACTCTGAGTGGCTTTGCCTTGGGATGGAAAATGCTCTAGCTGGTGACCTGAACTTCAAAATGCATGTGACTGCTTCTGAAAAAAATAAATAGTTCACAGTCTTTTAATGGCATGCCATGGATAAAGTGATATTTACAGTAATACCAACGAATGAAGTGGAGAGCAGGGAACACTCCTTATTACCAACATGTATATCTCGTGTAGAGTGTTTATAGATAACCTCTGAAGTGAATGATGATTATGGCTTATTATACAAGATTTTCTAGAGATCTTGACATTTCTTCAATCTGCTTCTTTTCAAACTCATAATCACCCAGTAGATCAATGGGCGCTAAGACCCGCCAAGTGTTTTTTAAATGGCATATGAAATATTTTGCATTCATCCGTGATAATTTACAAACTGTTTACAATTGAGAACTTAAATATTTATATGCAAAAAAACATTCCACTGATTCCTGTGAAAGATTTATTCAAATGGCTATGAAACTATGTTCCTTAAGAATGCCTTACCTCTATAAGTAACCATTTCTGTACAGTATTTTGATGATAACTAGAATATCTTCAGACTTCTGTCACATTACTATCTAGTATTACTTTTACAAAACAATGTTAAGGATAGTACTCAAACAGAGCAGGTATGTGTGCCATTGTTAAGGTACAAGTCATGACTATGAAACTGTGCACCTATAAGGCTACATATACAGAGGGGGATTCTGCAATTAATGTCCTGCAAGAAGAATATTCAACAGCATGATACTTTTGCTTTAGGATACCAGTCAAGGTACTTGCCATGGGCAGCAATAGAAATGCTTGCATGATTAGAGATACATGAGAATTGTGTAGCCAGTTGTTGTTCCTTTTTGTTTGATCTGTCAGCGTAGACTTGATCGGTATAAGTGTGCCAGTAAAGAACAGGTTAAGGTTAGGATAGGACACTGTCACTGCAAAAAAAGAAAGAAAATGTTCTATTCAGGCACTTGTGTATAATAGGTGTTACAATCTTTACTCTGCCAGGTGTAACCTATACGAGTTGAAAAATAAGCAGAATGGATAGCATTTGTAATACATTTTGTAGCACCCGAATTTCTTAACGTATAGATAAAAACGATCCAAAGAAATTAGCATGCAACAATTAACTTTTAGTGCAATTCTATACTCAGAAGTACGTATGCCCCACAGAGTTAAGTGGAGCTTACTAACAGGTAAGTAGGTGGAGTATTGCAGTCTCTATTGCTTTTCAGGAACACAGCCAATACCCCAATACGTTAGTTATTTCTTGCATTCTTTTTTCTTTGCCTTTGAAATAGTATTATCTTGCAGAGAAACAAGAATCAGTTTAACTACAGAAACCAAGAGGAGGCACATGTTTTGTGTCTTCTGTTCTATTGTAGTTAGAAAGGTAATTAAATAATATTTCTACGAGACTTGGTAAATTAAAACAACTCTGATAACGACAGAACAGAATACTAAGTTAGTTTTTTGCAGTGAAAGTGTCCTGTATGACTTTTGAAAGCTGCCACGATGTTTTAACTCATTTATAAATGGATAAATAAGTAGATCTTACATGAAAAATATTTGTTTTGCACATGGAATCATTGTGCCCAAGCACACGAACTGATTCCAAGATGTTGTTCTTGGAAAGTGCTTGTCTGGCAAAAGGAAGAATTCGAAGTGCTTAGCTAGAAAAGCACAGCACAATCCAAAGCAGTTTGCAGGTGGGGCTAGTTCTTTTTCTTCTGTGAAGAGGAATGCTCTGGACTTGCATGGAGATTGTCCACTGCATGCAATATGAGTTGATATAGAAGAGGGCTGGCGACCCCTTTGCATGTGAAGTTCTGTGCACACATCAGAAGTGCCAGATCACAGCTTCTGGGTACAGCCAGCTGCAGATCTGCTTGAAATGAATCAAGGGCTGCTTTCTCAGCTGCACACTGTGACTTGCATTATGTGTTCTGGGTACTGAGCCTGAAGTTGGAAACAGGTTATTGCTGCCAGGAAAACAGAATTGTTTATAAATCCAGCCATTCGGGAAACACAGGGTACATGCAGTGATTTCCTAGCTTCTTATACAACTGCTTCATAAATCCTTCCAGAAAACTAGTCTCCATCTCTCTCTCTCTCTCCATCCCTCTCTCTCTCTGGTAGCATATTATCAGAAGTCTGGAAGCTACTCGTGCTGTGAACCACACAAAATATATTTTTAAAAATCAGCATCTTGGTAGCAGTGAGGTCTGGGGACAATCAAAACACCTGAAGATTCAAAATTCGGTCCAGAGCCTTCAGCTATACTTATTCTAGATACATTTGATTTGGTGTGTAAATCTGATCACGACAAGCACTTGATCAAGTATGTCAAAATGATCTGTGCTCTTGGGAAACCAAGATTCCACACTGCATTGGTGCTACCCGTTTTCTGTGGCAATGAAACTGTTAGAGCAGGGATAGTCCACATGGCACCTTTCCAATCTTGTTGGACCATGGACGCCCATCATCCCTGGCCTTGACCAGTGGTCATGCTGGCTGAGCTGATGCAAGTTGTAGCCCCCACATCTGAACGGCACCAGGCTGGCCACCCCTGACACAAACACCACACCCTTGCTTGTTAAGGAGGATTTATTACTGCTGCTTGTTATGTCATAGGAATAGTTCTATGGTTGTGATCTGTAATCAAATGTTTGAAAGACACCCAGAATACGAAACCCATGCAAGGTTATGGGGTATGGCTAACAGAGACGACGGTGCAGTTCTGGAGCTGTTGCTGTTCACCAGATCCGATTGCTAAATCCTTGTTTCTGCTCATTGTGTTAGAAATAATTCCCCTTCTGCAAGTCTCAGTATTAAATGCGCACACAGGTGCAGATAGCTCAGTTTGTTATCGAGCATGGGGCCGATAACGCCAAGGCTGCAGGTTTAATCCCTGTATGGGATAGCTGCATATTCTCGCATTGCAAGGAGTTGGAGTAGATGCTCCTCAGGGTCCCTTCCAACTCTATGAGTCTCTGATCTCTGCCATGCTGGACCATATGCTCTAATAATAAGCATCAGGGCAAATTAAGGGAGTGTGTTATATCTGATTCTGTATGGGTCATGGAAATTCCAGTTTATAAGAGTCTTTCAGCTCAGTCTTACGTATACTTACTCAAAAGTAAGCTCTGCAGAATTCAGCGGGACATTCTCCCAGATCAGTGTGCATAAGGTTGCAGCCTTAAAATGTGACTTTGATTCTGTGGTTGCCTGAGGAATAGCATTACCATTTCACGTAATGGTATGAAAGCAGCTTACTGTGACAGGGGAAGAAAATGAGGTGTAGACTAACATTGAATGCATGCTATTGGTAAAGTTAATTAGACACTGGTATTTTTATTATTCTGATAGGTGAGATAAGATTAGGGTCTCGTATAGCAGGTACTATTATAAAATTATTTAACGGAATATGTTTCTCGTGAGGGCTAACTTATTTTGCCACGTCAACTGTTCCTGGTTGCAGAACAGCAACAAATCAGTCAAATGACTTAACGTAAGTTGATTTTAAGTCTCTGCTCAGCCAGGCTATACCCATGGTTAATGCATAATGTCAAGGCTAATAATAGGGGATGAAGGGGACCTGCAATTAAATGTTGCAGTGTGGCTTGCTCCTGCTCAAGTTTCCAGCCACTTCATTGTATTCCCCCTTCCCACCTGGTTTCCCATTTTTTCTCTAACAGCCAGAGAGCATCCCATGCTTACTGAGCAAACTCAGCCCTCCACGGGCTTGGGGGGATTTTTTGCCCTAAATATTTTTGTACTCCTGCAGACCTTGAGGACATAGGGTTCCCTCAAGCAGAGCTGCTCCTACTGCTGCATTTTCATGTGAGTAGCTGTACATAATTCCCACTGCTCAGTCACTGTGCTGTCTCTTTTGCATTATCAGTAGAGAACCTGGCAGAAAGGATTGCAGGGGTCAGCATGCATCATGACCATTGAGAACAGCAGGTAAAGAGACTGCACAGACTTGGAAGCAGATTAGGAGTGCCTAAGGTTGACTCTTACAACGGGGATCAAGGAATATGGCAGAAACCCAACCATCACCATGTATCTGCAGCCCATTTGCCGTTGAATAATCCCAAGTGTGCAATATGGAATACATGTCTAGTATAAGAGAACTAGGTTGTTAATAACCAATTGGTAATGCAAGTAGGACATTATTAGTATGTCTGAAAAGCATGGATATGGAAGGTCTCCAATTACACCATGAAACTTTCAAAAACAGTTTGCAATGCACTTCAGGATTCCCGTTGCAAAAATTGAATGGCTTGCTGCACAGCTGCGATCCCTTGCACAACCATGAAGTAGTTTATGGATTCTCATCTAATATTGGCTCGTATTGGAGAAGCCTGGCACTGTTAGTGTAGTGGCTAAGTGAAGAGAGGTTGCCTCAAACTCCCTAGGTGGTCTTTGGCACCCTTGGCATCTCTGAACCTCAACTTTCCAGCAACATGTGCAATATAGGCTCATGGTATAGGCCTACCTTACAGGACTGTTGTAAAAGTTACTGTGCTAATTATATATCAGTGTATAGAAAGCAGTCTATAAATGCTAATATTACTTCTGACTTAAGAAGGAAGAGGAATTCTCTCCTGCTCAGGATTTTGGTGGGCACAATATTGGGATGTGTACTTCTAGGCTCTTAAAAGGAGACACCGTCCAACACAACCCTATGCATGTCTCCTCAGAAGTAAACACTGTTAATAGAACTGATGCAAAGGTATATAGAAATTGCAGCCTTAAACCTATAAAATGAATGAGATTAAGCACACTTAACTGTGTTAGATTGTGGCCTAAGGCACTTGACTTAAGTATAAAAACCTTCCTTTCCTCCCATTAATGAAATATGTGCACTTTTTGTGGGACTATCACCTAGGACCACTTTCAGGTAAAGCATTGAATGATTATGGTTAACCCAAGATATGTTGCACAAAAGTAGCACTAGCAAAGGACCCTTAGAGTTGGTTTGGGCAACACTTTTGTATGTGTGATTGCTATGTATGCATTCCCTGTACTGTATATTTTCCCCACCTTTGTTATATTTGCTCCAAACATCTAGCACATTTTTTGTTGCTTAGTGTATCAAAAAAACAAACAAAACCATTTGCAATGTTACTAAAGAACAAGAAATAGTTGTGTGTGGAAATGCCTGAAAACTATAACCAAGAATCTGATGGATCAAGCTTGCAAAACCTTTCTATCACATGATAAAGTCAGTACTGTTGAAGTCTCAGAATTAGGCATGTTTGCAGCTTTAATAAGTGCAACTCACCTAGCCTTTCATATGGAAACGAATTATCTGGAGAATGAAGAGAATGCACTTTGATGCTGAAAAGTTTAAGAAGTACTTTGCATGTACCATAAAAATAAACACATATGTCTAGAGAAGTCTGTTTGTCATTCTGTGATATCAGAGTTTTATATAGAGACCATGGGCAGGGGGGGCAGGTACTTAGAACACCATATATTTGTGAAAATGGAAAATGCAGTGACAACCCAAGAGTCAGCCTCAATTTTGTGCCTTTCAGAGTTTCTGATTTGGATGGGTGATGCTCGAGTGACAGAGCACTGGATAGGATCTGGAAGAATTTCCAGCTGTCCGAGTGTGTCCAGGTTCTGTGCTTTATGTTACATTTACATTAGATGAGCTGACAGGAAAGACATCTGTGCAGGACCCCAAGATCTGCCTAGTAACTCCTGAAATCCAACACCAGCTTTCAAGCTGGTGCCTGATGATACGATGGTTCACAATAGGCACATGTGAACTTGTGGTTAGGAAGGAAAGCTCAAAAATATGCTCATGGGCTTTTGCACTTAGTTGTCACAATAAAAATACACCAAGTGCTGAAAGTCCACAGCCCCAACAAGATGTTTCCTCCAGATCACCCACACCTGCCACAAAGATGCTATGGGGTGTCAGGCATGGGGCAGGTAGAGAGATGCAGCTGCTAGTGCCCAACTGGTAATCTTAAGGTGCGCTCCTGATAGGCAAGCCTTTCTAGTCAATGAACTAACAGCTGATAAGTGCTGGCGTTGAGGCTGCTGGGATTGGCTGCAGGGCTTGAAGTCAGCGCCAAGCAGCTGATTGGCAGCAAGCTCAAGCCCTGTTTGGGTCATCTGATGTCCTAGTGACATCAGGCAATTGACAGGTGGGTGGGACTAGCTGGCCAGAACCAGTTCCCCTAAGCACATGCTTTGCTTTAACCCCAGCTAAAAGGCTGGGAAAGCTGTTTGCCCAAGACATTGGAGACTCAGTGCTGGCTGAAGCAGACAATGCTGGACTAGGCAGACTAATAATAATAATAATTTATTTCTACCCCACCCATCTGGCTGGGTTTCCCCAGCTACTCTGTAAAAAGCAGATTTGTGTGACTGGCAATGTCATCTTATTTTTTCCCCCCTTTTTTTAAAAAAAAACCACCACCACCAGTATTTTGAACTGAATACTTTAATATACATCTTAAGCATCTTATATAAATAATCTCTCACCAGTTATAATACAGAACTGCAGCACAATTCCTATATATTCTTCCAGCACTAGCACCATCTCAATGGCTAGCAGCCATTTCAGTAGAACTGTGGGTCACTTGTACCAGCAAGTGAATTTAAAAACATCTGTTTAAATAATTGAAGCATATTAACAATTTAAAAAAATAAACATCATCGTGAAGCTTTAAGAAGATTATGCTCCACCAAAGTCTCAAATGAATTCTTTCCTGGTAAGTTAACATAAGAGCAATCTTAAGAAAACGATGTCCTGGAGTATAGGCCTTAAATATTATTAAACTGTTTTTATGGGAAATCTTGATTCAATTCTTAGGTGCACCCAGTCAAAGTTAAGCACTGTTAAGTCCCTCCAGTCTCCTATTGAAGGATAATACATTTTACAGAAGTTACTAATTGAAACTTGTCACCATGTACTAATAATAATCAGAGCAGTTTTGCAAATAGCCACACGCTTTACTATTTTGTTATCAGTAACAACTACTGCTAACTTTTTGGCTAAAATGGGCGGTATGCAAGTAAGTTTTATACAGAGTAGGTTCATTAATTTCAGTGGGTCTACTCTGAGTAAGACTCAGCTGCATGCCACCCCAAATAACCAATGACAAAATTACTCTATAAAGCAGTAAAGTATGGAAACAGGAGCACAGAATTCTCTACAGTGCATCAAGCTTTATAGTTTAAAGATAAAAGATTCTGAACCATCTTTTAGATCAGGATTAGCAAGCAACATAAAGTACATGAAAGCATTAGTATTTCGCATTCATACATTTAGCCCTTGAAAAGAAAAGATGCCAGTGTATTGCTATTCCCACTCTTACAGGCCTCCGCCTTCAATGTTTACTCAGAAGCAAGTCCTACTGTGCTCAGTGAGGCTTCTCCCTAGTAATAACATTTAGTAAAGCAGTCTTAGTAAATAAAGGGGTTGCTGGATGGCAGAGCTTTCCTATCATTGCCTAGTTTCCTTTAGGGGTGAAATTAGCTAGAGCAGAACATGTTTTCACCCTTCCCTTTGTGAAAATGAACATCTTCCATGGGGGTGCTGCAAATGTGAGCACGGTGATTTGCACGCTTTGGAGCTACAACCATTCTGGAAATTATGTTGTGTAGGCCAGCCCACAGACTGTATTCCTGCAGGGAAGAGATCCTTTCCCTCAACTTGCAAGAACACTCTGATTTAGAGTTCTGTCCAGAATGTGGTGGTGCGAGTGCCATGGGCTTCTGTGTCCACGGCTTGGCTAAGAAGCAACGATGTGCCGAAGGCTTGCCAAGTGAGTTTCATTGAGCTCAGTGGATCTTACTTCAGAGTAAACATGCTTTCAGTTCTTCTGTGCAAATGGGACTACCAGCACCTATAAGGAAAATACTACAGACCTTCATGCAGGAAGCTTCCAACCTATCCTAAGGTTTTGAGAATCGACTATGAGGTGCAGAATATGATTGCAAGAAACACACAGAGCTTGAGGTCAGCGCAGATTATGCTTTCAGGGTTTTTCTGAGATCAGAATAAAAGTTAGTCAGAGTACTGGCCATAGCCGTGTCCACCGCCGACTGGGGGATCATCCCACGCAAATCTGTCTGGATGAAGCCTATCAGCAGGCTGTGTCTAGGATTGTCCTTGAGAGGGAAACAGAACCAGCCACAGGGGTGGTTAAAACCTCGAACATAACCCGGTTTTACTTCACCATAGTCCAGGCTGACACCTGTTTTAAAATAAAACACAGTTGTGGATTGAACCTCTCAAGTAAAGGGAATGCACCTAGTTTTATTCCTGAGAAATCTTTTTAAGAATTTTATTACAGCCAGGATCCCAAGGATCCTGTGGGAGAGGTAAGCTTCCTTCTAACAACCCCAAACTCCATACTCAGGGGATCTAGAGTTTCAGCAGTTTGCTGACAAACCTGGAGAAGATATATGCAGATTTTTTTTTAAAAAAGGGAAGTTCCAATATGTAGTCATTTGTCTTGCCCCTGTTCAAGTTGTGCTTGTAAAGCGGAGGGATTTCTGTCCAAGGCAGTACCTTATAATCATGTGGGGAACGTGTCCATTTCTTGGAACAAGAAATGGTGGGGTCTAGAAGAAGCTACCCAAACCAACCTTCCCCCATCCAGAGAGGGGCAGGATTTGGGGACAAAGTTACCCAAGAACGCCTTTTTAAGTCAATGTGCAATATTTACAATATTCTAAATCTGGTCTGAACATGGTAATCTCCCAAGCAAAATCTAGGTCTGGTTCTTTGCTCCCCAAAACAGTTACATAGAAGAGAGAACTAGGTTTGGGAGGTTGTGGACAGTGGCGGAGCTTCATGCTCTGGCACTGGGGGGCGGAGAGCAGGCGGGGGCAGGGCTGGCGCGCATCCTAGGGGTGTGGCGCCCAACATGGGCGGAGGGGGGGCGCAGCCACGATAGCACCCCACTGGGATCGCGGTGCCGCGGGCGGTGCGCTCCCCCCGCACTCCTCTTCCTCCGCCAGTGTTTGTGGACTCTCCTTCCTTGGAGCTTTTTCAGCAGAGGTTGGATGGCCATCCGTCATGGATGCTTCAGCTGAGATTCCTGAATTGCAGGGGGTTGGACTAGATGACCCTTGGGATCTCTTCCAACTCCACGATTCTATGATTTCAGGGCAAGCCAAGCGCCGCCTGCTCAAATTCCGCATTTTAGGCAGTCAGGAATGGCCTAGAGTTCACGTTCAACCTGTCAATCCTCATCTCAGGCCAAGTGCAGCTGACTCACCAGAAAATGCAAGTTAGCAATCGTATTCATTCTACTTTCCTTTGCACTAAGTGACTTTTGTATAGTACTTTCGATCTGCCAAGTGACAGACAGGATGTCCTTCTTCGTGGCGCTAGTTTATTTCTAATTTTAGCTTTGAGGAAGTGGGTGTCAAACCAATAATTTGTTGCAAACAGCAGCACAAACGTACACAGATTTGATTTCTACAGGTTTCGGTGTGCTTTAGACAGCAAGATTAGAAGATAGAAGAGGTTTAATTAGAATTACCGCATGACAGAATCCCGTCTTCGTAGTCTGCTGTGCAGGAGAAGTCAACAAACTCTCTGGGAGAAATGATGTTCCACAACTGGCCAGCTGTGGTGTACCGCATAATACAACAGTTCTGCAGTGCAATTACAAAATGCCCGTTTAGGTAGTATTCATTTGTAGAAACTTAGTGTTTATAGCTATGCCAAGCAATATGGAGACTGTGTTGAAGGGTCAAACTAGATGAGACCAGAAATAAATCATAACATTTCCATCTTTTTAAGCTCTCCAGCAGCAGTTCCACTCCCTACTCCAATTTGGATCAGGCCTGTGACATTGGGGGTTGTGGTTAGAGGGCTGTCCCTTGAATGTGAAGAGATACAGCTGCCATCTCTTGATATGACTCAGGACTCTATGTAGCTGAATTTTTTTAAGTTTAAAGAGACAAAAGACTTACCCAGTGTACCCTGAGGTCTCCCACCTTAAAAAAATCCATCTACAGGCCTAATATGGATTTAATTGACTGCCTGACTCAAATAATGAACTATACAGATATCTCTTACTTGAAGAAACAATCAGGTTTTCCTACAAGTGCTCCTGATTATTCCAACACGCTGAGATGAATCATCAGTCTTATCTTAAATAATAAACATCTTTAAGAAAGCTAGGAACAGATTCTTAATAGGAGTTAAATTCACTAGAAACAGTAAGCTTAAAGCTACACACATCAGAATGAAAGGTGCCTGGCAAAATGTAAATAGCCAGAACTGGTGTAGAATCTACAGGCCTTTTTAAAAAAAAGGTGTTTGCCTGTGTTTCAGGATTCATTAAGATGCTGTGCTGAAACCAGGACAGTTCTGCTGAAGGTCACTTCTTGGCCAAGAAAAGAGACTTTGGACATCAAAAGAAAATAGGCTTTAAATTAAAAATTGAGAGCACGATGCAGCCAAATGTTAAGAGTTTAAATATATCACAATGGGATTAACTTTCCCACTGAAGCCAATGGGATTTAAAACTGTTTCTGCATAGTTCAAATTTAGTTGGAAGTTATATCGGAATTAATGCTCAAAACAGCTTGGATATTTGTACCTCCTAGTTTTCAGCTACTCAAAATGAGGCACTTTCTTGAAAACTGCAAAAGCTATTTTGTTCACTTCGGATTTTTTATACATCACAGGTTCTACCACTGCCAACAAGAAGGTTAAAGTGTCACTCAAAGCACAATGTATGAAGTGTGGATATATGCAAGTAGAGAAGCTCCCTTCTTGCTGACTGTAAAACTTTAACTTGCATTGCAACTGCTGTGCCAAATGAAAAGCATGCAAGTAGAACTTCTGGTTGTGTGATCAATGGGTGACGCATTACCTCTTCAAACTCATCAACAATATCCATCGAGGTCATCAGACTATCCCAGTAGAGTCGATAGGGTCCAGGGCGTATGTGATCTACTATTCTGTTGGCAACATCCTCCACAATCCCTTGTGCTTTGTAGCTACAGAATCAGATTTAATACAATGATGCTTAGAAAATGTCAAAGCGCCTAGCAACTTTCCACCAGTTTAAAGTAACTATATATGGGTCATGCACGTGCCAATATCTCTTTTATTTTCCATCAGGATCTAGGGGTCTTAGGAATGTTAAATTTCATCCATTATGCCTCAGATTACGCAATCCTCTTGTACCAAAGCAAACAGTTATTTTCTATGAACTTTGAGGGTGGGGATGGAGGCACACCATGTTGGATTTCATTCAGTCAGTCTGAGGCGGAGGAAAGAGGAGGTCTGCCAAAGGTTTTTTAATGAGGACTCCCTAAAAGGAAAGCTACAACAGGACCTACTCAGCCTCAGAGAACAGCAAGAACTGTCTACAAATGAAATAACCATTTTTACAACAAACAAAATGCAACTGAGAGGAGGATGCTTAGCACCAGAGGCAATATGTACACAAATGCATAGGTGACGGTTTCACGTTTATACCAATAAATAGAGCGTCCAATAGAGCGAAAAATACAGTATTCCACAAAGCACTCAAAGCCGCTCCCAGCCACTATGCATTTTATGCTTTTATGTCCATGGTAGATGCAGAGAACCTATCCTGAAATGAAGTATGATACAGCAACGATGGCTGGAGGGCACAATGCATTGGGGAGCGGCCTACTTCTGCTCTAATACGGCCAGATTCTTCCTCTCATAAACAGCCCCCTCCCTTTCTACTGGAAATTATATTTATGAAAGAATTCATCTCCTCTGTAAGTTAACTTACAGGTATCCATTGAATTCTTCAGATGGCTTACGCCAAACTGTCGTATCTTTCTGCAGAAAAAAAGAAGATCACAATATTTGTACTTTATTAAAAATGACTCAATCACTTCACACCTCTGAATGTACAAATATGACAGAATCGAGAAGTACACAGACCACCGAGGGAACTTTATAAATATAGCGCATCTTTTACCAACCTGTTCATCAGTACACACGTTTTAATTCAACTGTAGTGTTTTTTTTTTAAAAAAATACATGCATGCAATAAATTGTCATGTAAATTCTTCTGGTGAATGAGAAGAGAAACAAACACCAAAATATAGCATTAAATTAATATATGTGAGAACACAACCTCTATGAACTACGGCCATTCGTATCATCCCATGCTTCTTTAAAAAAATATTTCAAAGGGCATACAAAGAAAAACTCTTGAGAACTAAACTTGACAAATCACACATCAAAAAGTCTTCCTATCACAACATCAAATTTTAACTGGGTTGCCTTGGCATTGTGTAGGCATCACAACTGACACAATTGTTTAGGATTGAAGATTTTAAGTTAAATTTGTGTTAATCTGATAGTATAAAAAACTGATTTAGTGCCAATCTAGATATGATGAGCTTTGATGAGTATCACTATAGCCTTGGGGGAAAGTATATTATGCTTGTGCCAGCATTTGCACATGCAGTTAAGTAATGAGACAGCACTATCAGATGGAAAGAAGAACAGGCTTTCCCCAAACCATACACAGTAAATAAACACATGAGGGGAAAGGGGGACAGGTTGCCATGTCCCACCTGCTCTAGTGAACCAGCACCACACACTTCCAAAAGTTTTGAGAGCCAAAGTCTGAAGCAGGGAGCCTCTTCTACTGATGGAGGTTCATGGGTGCAGTCGGGGGGGGGGAGGAAGCTGCCCCCTCCAAATCAATAAAAATTGATAAAAACACATAGATAACTGAGGTTCTGTCTCCCCGCAACAAAAGGCCTGCCCTCCCACCAACAAAAATTCTGGTTACGCCCATGTGGAGGATCCCTGTGTGACCTCTGGCTTGTGGAAAGGTAGAAAAAAGAGGAAAGTGACCTTAATCTCCTTGTGTGATTTTCATCACTCAAAGAAGGTAAAGGTACCCCTGCCCGTACGGGCCAGTCTTGCCAGACTCTAGGGTTGTGCGCTCATCTCACTCTATAAGCCGGGAGCCAGCGCTGTCCAGAGACACTTCCGGGTCACGTGGCCAGCGTGACAAGCTGCATCTGGCGAGCCAGCGCAGCACACGGAATGCCGTTTACCTTCCCGCTAGTAAGCGGTCCCTATTTATCTACTTGCACCCGAGGGTGCTTTCGAACTGCTAGGTTGGCAGGCGCTGGGACCGAACGACGGGAGCGCACCCCGCCGCGGGGATTCGAACCGCCGACCTTTCGGTCGGCAAGTCCTAGGCACTGAACAAAACACCAAATCAGGGCTCTGAAATCTACCCACTCAAATGTACAGTACTTCACATATCATCGCACCATAAAGGCCCACCTAAAACACAAAAGTAGAATATAAATCACCCTACTCGTTTATTAACAAAAGAAAAGAATCTGGAAAGGCAACGGCTTGGTAACTTACTGTTTTCTTAGTAAGTCTCCACTCATCATCTTCAACATTGTAGTACCGGATGACCTCATTTTTTAGCTTTGTAGCCACAGAAACTACATCAGGAAAGTCTGCCATTCTCTTCTGTCTTCTGCAGAAAATCAGGATGTAAAAAAACAAAAGGCGGTGATTTACTGTTCCTTCTCAGTTTCCTGTTTGGCGTTAACACTATAATAATCATACAAGTCTCAATTTCTCTCTAAATTGCACAGCTGCATGATTCAGGATCATCTGCAATAAGCAGCAAGGGTTTTTCTCAACAAAGCAGAAGCAATATGTTATTGCAGTGCCCAACAATTAAAATGCATCTGGAGCGCCACAGGTTTCCTATCCCAGCTCTAATGACTCATCCAGCTGGTAACTTCTAGTAGCCAGGATTTATGTTCCAGGGGGCAGAACCCAGCTATCTGCGATGCAATTGGTTGGTTAGTTAGTTATTTTTTATTTATTTGCTTGATTGGGGAAGGGGCAGCTGCCTCCCCGCTCCCTTTGGCTAAACTATGGCAGGTGACCAACAGGGCCAAAGAGGCATTTATGCACAATGTGTAGCTGCTAAAAAACAAGTCCGAATGTTTATTATTTAGAAGCACCTGTGACCTACTTTTATACGACTATGCAAATGGGTCTTAATTAAATGTGCTGTTTGTTCCCATCCCATTATCTCTCTCACAGACAGATAATAAGGTGCTTGGCCAACCATAACAGCTGAGGCTTCTGTGCCAGCTCTCTAACAGACATCTACTTACGAAAGCAGGTGCCGCGCTCAGAGCAAGGAGCTGAAACTATTTGCTCCTGCCCTGCCTCTCCTTGGCAAGTGGATAAAAAACCCACAACAGACTCATCTGAGATGAGTAATGCCCCATTATCCTTTTAATCCAGAATAATGAGTAATGCCCCACATTCTTCTACCCCAGAATAAAAAGTAAGGCGGCATATCCTTTCACTCCAGAATAACCTGAATGCCACTGTGATGATATGTATGCGTCAGCCAAGATCTGCAGAGTAAGGTAAAGGTAAAGGTACCCCTGCCCGTACGGGCCAGTCGTGTCCGACTCTAGGGTTGCGCGCCCATCTCACTTAAGAGGCCGGGGGCCAGCGCTGTCCGGAGACACTTCCAGGTCACGTGGCCAGCGTGATGAAGCTGCTCTGGCGAGCCAGCACCAGCGCAGCGCACGGAAACGCCGTTTACCTTCCCGCTATAAAGCAGTACCTATTTATCTACTTGCACTTAGGCGTGCTTTCGAACTGCTAGGTGGGCAGGAGCTGGGACCGAAAGATGGGAGCTCACCCCGCCGACCATGCGATCGGCAAGTCCTAGGCACTGAGGTTTTACCCACAGCGCCACCCGCGTCCCGCAGAGACCCGGGTTCAAATCCCTACACCTCCATCTATAATCGCTGGGCCAGTCACTGTCTATCAACTTCACACCAGATATTCTCCTCCTGAGGATATAACGGGGGGTGGGGAGGAGCACATACGCCACCAGTGAGCTCGTTGGAGGCAGGCTGAGATATAAATGCAGTAGGATACCAATGAATTCGATACATAAAACAAACATGCTGCCTGTCCTCGGGTTCATGGGGCGGGGGGGGGGATTTCGATCGGCCCACTGCTTTCAAATCTGAACATCCAATGTTATAGGTTTGCGCGGGGGGGGGGCTGTTTTCTTCGCGTTCCCCGTTTCCACAAGCCCGGGCTCGTTTCCACACGTGAGGCTCAGAATGCGGGCACGTGAAAACGTAACGTGTGAAAACGGCACACTTTTTCGGGTACCGAGAATTAGCCGCCCGTGGGCGAAGCGAGAGATGCTCACGGGCGAGAGGCTCACGCGCGGAAAGTCAGGGATGCATCTCCACGGGTGACCCAAGCAAGAGAGCATCTCTCGGTGCGTCCGGCCCGCTTCCCCGGGCGGGCAAAAAGGCCGCGTACGCTTACCAGGATCCCGGGCTGCGAGGAGCGACGGTTCGGCGCCACGTCGAAGGTCCCCCGGACTCCGGCCACGCGCGACCCGCTCCTTCTTCCCCCAGCTCTGCTTCTGTTCCTTCTGCTGCGCTCACCCGGTCCAGCAGCTCATGCCGTTGGGCCAATCAGAGCTCAGCCGGCATCCCCGTCGCAGCCAATCACAGCGCGCCCGTCTTTTCTCACCTCTCCTGCCCCCGCCCACCGTTTCGCCTCCCAACCCGCCGTCGGTATCGATCTCCCTATGCAAAATTCATAGCCCTTAAACCACGCCCCCAACTGTCCGCCCCCCTCTCTCTCTCTTCCCAAAACGGATGACAGGCGGACCGTGCTCATTGGGCACATGGCTGGAGGGAGGCGGGGTGAAGCGCGGGGATTGGCTGACGTGCATGTGGAGTGACAAAACGGCGGGGGCGCAGAGAGAGAGAGAGATCAGCAAAGAGAATTTTGCTGCGCCTGAGAGAGGCTTTTGCCACGTTTGTTGTGGCAGGAACTTTTCTGGACCGAAGTCCGGCTCATCTGGTGCAGAAACAGCACCTGGAGGATTGTGCGGTCCAAGAAAGCTGCCTTGTTGTGGCATAATAATAAGTTGGTTGGTCTTAATGGCGCCACCAGATTCTTTGATGTTTTGGTTGCAACAGACTAACAGGACCCATCCCAGTCTTAGGAGTGTGAATGTAAAAGTGGAGTGACAGGAAAGAATTAAGAGGGTGGAAGGCTTTCCAGAAAACGTCTGGCCATTTGACATATAGGAATACTAAACACTCAAGCACTTAATATAATACGTTCTGCTATGATGTAATCACATATTTCATACCCTCCAACATTTTCCCAATGAAAATAGGGATTTCCTATTCAATAATAATAATAATAATAATAATAATAATAATAATAATAATTTATTATTTATAACCTGCCCATCTGACTAGGTCGCCCCAGCCACTCCAGGCTGCTTCCAACATACATATATAAAATGATCACCATTATCAATTTATTATTTATACTCCTCCCATGAACTGCGTCCAACATGCTACTGGGGAAGAGCGGAGGGCAAGTACAAGTAGATCCAGAGCTGATGAAGCGGCTGGGCCAAAGCCGAAAGGACGCTCAGTTGCGGATATGCCTGGAAGCGAAAGGAAAGTCCAATGCTGTAAAGAAAAATATTGCATAGGAACCTGGAATGTAAGAACCATGAACCTGGGTAAGTTGGAGGTGGTCAAAAATGAGATGGCAAGAATAAATATTGACATCCTGGGCATCAGTGAACTAAAATGGACGGGAATGGGCGAATTCAGTTCGGATGACCATCACATCTACTACTGTGGGCAAGAAACCCGTAAAAGAAATGGAGTGGCCCTCATAGTCAACAAAAGAGTGGCGAAAGCTGTACTGGGATGCAATCTCAAAAATGATAGAATGATCTCGATACGAATCCAAGGCAGACCTTTTAACATCACAGTAATCCAAGTTTATGCACCAACTACTGGTGCTGAAGAAACTGAAATTGACCAATTCTATGAAGACTTACAACACCTTATAGAAGTGACACCAAAGAAGGATGTTCTTCTCATTATAGGGGATTGGAATGCTAAAGTAGGGAGGCAAGAGATAAAAGGAACAACTGGCAAGTTTGGCCTTGGAGATCAAAACGAAGCAGGGCAAAGGCTAATAGAGTTCTGTCAAGAGAACAAGCTGGTCATCACAAACACGCTTTTCCAACAACACAAGAGACGACTCTACACATGGACATCACCAGATGGGCAGCATCGAAATCAGATTGATTATATTCTCTGCAGCCAAAGATGGAGAAGCTCTATACAGTCAGCAAAAACAAGACCTGGAGCTGACTGTGGCTCAGATCATCAGCTTCTTATAGCAAAATTCAAGCTTAAACTGAAGAAAGTAGGAAAAACCACTGGGCCGGTAAGATACAATCTAAGTCAAATCCCTTATGAATACACAGTGGAAGTGAGGAACAGGTTTAAGGATTTAGATTTGGTGGACAGAGTGCCTGAAGAACTATGGATGGAGGCTCGTAACATTGTACAGGAGGCAGCAACGAAAACCATCCCAATGAAAAGGAAATGCAAGAAAGCAAAGTGGCTGTCCAACGAGGCCTTACAAATAGCGGAGGAGAGAAGGCAAGCAAAATGCGAGGGAGATAGTGAAAGATACAGGAAATTGAATGCAGATTTCCAAAGAATAGCAAGGAGAGACAAGAAGGCCTTCTTAAACGAGCAATGCAAAGAAATAGAAGAAAACAACAGAATGGGAAGAACCAGAGATCTGTTCAAGAAAATTGGAGATATGAAAGGAACATTTCGTACAAAGATTACCATAATAAAGGACAAAAGTGGTAAGGACCTAACAGAAGCAGAAGACATCAAGAAGAGGTGGCAAGAATACACAGAAGAATTATACCAGAAAGATATGGATGTCTCGTACACCCCAGGTAGTGTGGTTGCTGACCTTGAGCCAGACATCCTGGAGAGTGAAGTCAAATGGGCCTTAGAAAGCACTGCAAATAACAAGGCCAGTGGAAGTGATGGTATTCCAGCTGAACTATTTAAAATTTTAAAAGATGATGCTGTTAAGGTGCTACACTCAATATGCCAGCAAATTTGGAAAACTCAGCAGTGGCCAGAAGATTGGAGAAGATCAGTCTACATCCCAGTCCCAAAGAAGGGTAGTGCCAAAGAATGCTCCAACTACCGCACAATTGCACTCATTTCACACGCTAGCAAGGTTATGCTTAAAATTCTACAAGGAAGGCTTAAGCAGTATGTGGATCGAGAACTCCCAGAAGTGCAAGCTGGATTTAGAAGAGGCAGAGGAACCAGAGACCAAATTGCAAACATGCGCTGGATTATGGAGAAAGCTAGAGAGTTCCAGAAAGACATCTACTTCTGCTTCATTGACTATGCAAAAGCCTTTGACTGTGTCGACCACAGCAAACTATGGCAAGTTCTTAAAGAAATGGGAGTGCCTGATCACCTCATCTGTCTCCTGAGAAATCTCTATGTGGGACAAGAAGCTACAGTTAGAACTGGATATGGAACAACTGATTGGTTCAAAATTGGGAAAGGAGTACGACAAGGCTGTATTTTGTCTCCCTGCTTATTTAATTTATATGCAGAATACATCATGCGAAAGGCTGGGCTGGATGAATCCCAAGCTGGAATTAAGATTGCCGGAAGAAATATCAACAACCTCAGATATGCAGATGACACAACCTTGATGGCAGAAAGTGAGGAGGAATTAAAGAACCTTTTAATGAGGGTGAAAGAGGAGAGCGCAAAATATGGTCTGAAGCTCAACATCAAAAAAACGAAGATCATGGCCACTGGTCCCATCACCTCCTGGCAAATAGAAGGGGAAGAAATGGAGGCAGTGAGAGATTTTACTTTCTTGGGCTCCATGATCACTGCAGATGGTGACAGCAGCCACGAAATTAAAAGACGCCTCCTTCTTGGGAGAAGGGCAATGACAGGCCTAGACAGCATCTTGAGAAGTAGAGACGTCACCTTGCCAACAAAGGTCCGTATAGTTAAAGCCATGGTTTTCCCAGTAGTGATGTATGGAAGTGAGAGCTGGACCATCAAGAAGGCTGATCGCCGAAGAATTGATGCTTTTGAATTATGGTGCTGGAGAAGACTCTTGAGAGTCCCATGGACTGCAAGAAGATCAAACGCATCCATTCTTAAGGAAATCAGCCCTGAGTGCTCACTGGAAGGACAGATCGTGAAGCTGAGGCTCCAGTACTTTGGCCACCTCATGAGAAGAGAAGACTCCCTGGAGAAGACACTGATGCTGGGAAAGATGGAGGGCACAAGGAGAAGGGGGTGACAGAGGACGAGATGGTTGGATAGTGTTTTCGAGGTTACCAGCATGAGTCTGACCAAACTGCGGGAAGTAGTGGAGGACAGAGGTGCCTGGCGTGCTCTGGTCCATGGGGTCACGAAGAGTCGGACACGACTAAACGACTAAACAACAACAACAACATGAACTGCAAGAAGATTAAACCTATCCATTCTGAAGGAAATGAAAACACAAGACTCCCTGAAAAAGACCCTGATGCTGGGAAAGATTGAGGGCACAAGTAGAAGGGGACGGCAGAGGACGAGATGGTTGGACAGTGTTCTTGAAACTACGAACATGAGTTTGACCAAACTGCGGGTGGTAGTGGAAGACAGGAGTGCTTGGCGTGCTCTGGTCCATGGGGTCACGAAGAGTCGGACACGACTAAACGACTAAATAACAACACCCCGCCCATCAGACTGAGTTTCTCCAATCAATCTGGGTAGCTCCCAATAGAACATTAAAAACACGATAAAACATTAAACATTAAAACACTTCCCTATACAGGGCTGCCTTCAGATGTCTTCTAAAGTTTGTATAGTTACTTAAGGATGTCCTAAGGAAAAGCGGGACATTCCGGGATTAAATCAGAAACTGGGCCAGCTTCTGTAAATCTGGGACTGTTCATGGAAAAGAGGGACACTTGGAAGGTCTGATACCTGACTTTCTTAAAACGATGGAATCTCATAGAGCTTTGATAATATTTATTATCAGAGTTTCTATCATGCCTAAAATAATAAGCATTTCAAGAAGCTTGAAGTTTATGTCGCATCTATAACACAAACGGAGAAAACACTGTAAAATCAGACCATACTTTAAACTCTCTTGGATTTCAGCTGCAATTAAAAGAAACACTTTAAAAAAGGTCAAAAACTTAAGTTGCAATCCTATGCATACTTATATAGAAGTAAATCTCACTGAACACAGTAGATCTTACTTTTGAGTCAACAGGCTTGTCCTCTGAGGTTGCCGCTTACTGGCCTGGCATCTGCTCCTAATGGGCAGATTTAAAATGTGATACTTATCTTAGAATGAAGACAGTGATCAGGAAAGCTTCAAAAATTGAATTTGGGCTGCCGTGCAATGCTAAGAACACCAAATTAAAAATATGGTTACTTTAATTTGTCTCTTCTCAAAATGTCCTTAAGAATAGCTTTTCTAAACCAATAATCATTTTGAAAGTCGAAAGGTTTACTGAAGGTCAGGTTTCTTAAGCTCTCTGCCTTTGCAAACTGATCAATAACGATGAACAATTA